TGAGAGGACATTCCCATCACCAGGGCACTTTACTCCTAAACGTTCACTGTTTTTCCTAAAATTAAGGGTGTGCTTGTACATCATCCACACTCATTCGATCCAGGAACAGTGTGGGGCTTTGGCTTCTACCCTCCACCCCTTTTCCCACCTAGGTGTGCAGTTGAAAATTCACATATAACTTCTAACTCCCTAAAGTTGAACTCCTTCCAGCCTGCTGTTGACCAGAAGCCTTAATGAGAACACATTTTGTTCTCATTATGTCATGTATTATGTATGGTGCAAAATATGTGAGACCATGAGCGATGCCTTTTACTGTGGTAGCAGTGTGCTGGAGAGGACCAGTTCACTGGAGGGAACAAGTGTCACACATGACTCTGTGAGAGCCACAGGAAGCAACTCTGTTGGTCCCCCGCCACCACCTGGTCTGTGTGCTGTGATTCCAGGCTGTGTCTTCACCTTTGCACTTCTCAACTGCCAGTCACACTTGGATGGTCTGTGTCTGTATATGTTTCGATCAAGTTTAACTTTTTTACAATTATGGTAGTAAATGATAAAACAGACTATTATCTGTGTGTTTCATGCATTTACGACATACCTTTCTGTTAATTTTTTTCAATGTTTTTAGGCTGTGTGATTCTGAGAGTTCTTTCAAATTATCACAAATCTCAAAAAACAAAACCAAAACCAACCTATATCTGCATGAAGGGATTGTGCAATACAAACCTATGTTGTCCTGCAGACAGTTTTACACTGAGAAGTGCCTTGGCGCTCCTGTCTGCTTGAGCTGTGTCCTTGGTGACCTGTCCTTTCCTCTTTCAGGATCCCAAGTAGGGTCCTGAAAGAGGAAAGGACACAGTCTCGCATCTCCACAGCACTAACCTGGGAGCATTCATAGGCCTTCCTTGTCTGCTACAGCATTGATGTTTGTGAAGGGCACAGCTCTGTGTTGTACCACTTCCTTCCTCCTCGCTAGATTCAGCAGGAAGGCTGAACATGTGGCTCCTTTTCCCACATACTTCGGCTGGAGGCAGGTGATGTTGGCTTCTTTAATTATGATCCCTTAACCCAGGAGTCACCAAGTTCTCCTTTGTGTGCCGGCTGTGTTCTCCTGAGGCTGCTGAGCACTGAGTAGGGAGACGCAGAGAGATGGGGCACAGTCTCTTTACCCAACTTCCCCAGCCATTCCAATCTTACCTGAACTGTGTTAGGCCATCTTGAGATAAAAACAATTTTCTGTGGAGGCCCTAACTGGCAAGCAGATTTAACTACTAATTGTTTCTCCACTGCAGCAGTAATTAAACAGTAAATGACTGTGCTGAGCTCCAAAAGCCAGTGGTTGATTTTTCCCAAATCTGAGCTGTGCTTCTGTTTGCATCCAGTCGCCTTGTTGGGTAGAAAAGGTCATCACTACTTCATGGTCACAGTCTCCTCCACGCAGTTTCTAACAAAGAAAAGGATATCAAGCATCAGATACCAAACTTAACACAAGTTCAAGTATCGATTAAAATTCTTACTGAGTGCATGAGATTTTTTGAACCCATTTGGCTACTGTGAGTGCTGCCAATTAGTAAGGGAGCTTCAGGAATCCAGGCCTGGTAAGGGCCTGGTGGCAGCTTTTCTGCCTCTTCATGCCAGGGGAGCTGCTGCTGAAGACTGCAGGCCCTGCCCTGAGTCATGTCGGCCTGCCAAGTGGGCCGTGCTCTGCACACTTGGTATAGCGCTGTTGGGAAATGGGGACTTCCTCAAACGCAGAGTTGACTGACAGGGTGTGAGTTTGCCATGTACATGGAAGCTTGTGTCACCTGCACCCATAGCTCCTTGGGACCTGAAGTGCCTTCCCATCGCCCCCTTGGACAGGAGAGCAGTTTCTCAGTGGTGAGAGGGATTTCTAGACCCAGCTGGTGTCTGCATCAGGAGGAAGGAGTGCAGGCATGGGGCGTGAGATGAGTTCTGGAATCAGTGCTCTCAGGGAGAGGGACAGTATAGCAGGTCTTGACACCTGCTGTGGCAGGGGCTGGGGTGGACACACTGACACCAGTCATGGGCCAAGCACCCCATTCCTAGAGACCCAGAGGTGTGGTTCTGAGGAGCTGAGGGAAGTGATGGATAGCAGTAACAGGAAAGGCACAGTTTAGTCTGTATTTGCCAGGGAGTGGAGGTGGGGGTAGTATGGGACACTAAATCTGTCACAGAGTCCAAATGTCCAGGCTGGTCCTGGGCAGGATCACCACGGTACTGGGTTCTCCCCTTCACTGGGCTGACCTTCAACTGGTAGAACTGTGTTAGATCCAGGACAGGTCTCCTAGCCTAGAACATACCACAACCCTGCCTCAAGTGCTTTTTGGTCAGATGATGGTGTGTGAGAGCCCCAGGACCCCAGGAGGCCTAGAACATTCCGGCAGGGGCCTTGGCGTTCACTGCCCAAGCCCTCGACTGGATCCTGGCATGTCTGTGAGAGTGGCTTCTGCCTAGAGTGTGCCTGATTGAGGAATGGCCTGGCCAGCCCCAGGGATGCTGTCCATGTGCCAGCAGATGGTGGAGGGATTCTGCAACTTCAGGTTTGGAAATGTCTGAGCGTGGTGTCTCAGCCCCCCCTGCATTTTCACTGATGGCTTCAGGAGGGAGGAACCCTGCACCGGCTCAGCAGCTGCTGCACCACCATTTGTCTCTGCTTCCCCAGCATGCATAGCTGTTGGGGGCAGCTACGGTTCTGGTGCCTGACTTTTGGTGGCCACCTGTTCCCTCCAGTGACTTTCAGTACTTACCATCTCAGACATGAGATCTTAGAAGTCAGTCATGTGTCTGATGCTAACCTTAATATTTCAAGAAATATTTACTAGGTAGACAATTCAAAGAAGGGAAAGCCCACTTTGATTAGCTTGCTCTTGATTCAATATTTTGGCTAAATGAAATTGCTTAATGTTTACATTTTGTGGTCTTAAAAGTGCATATACAGATAAATGATCAAAAATCACACTCAGGCCCTGGTAGGTCCTATATGAAGGCATTTCGTTGCTCCAGGAGCAGTTAAGCTTTCTGGAAAGCAAACTGGCTGGGAGCACACAGAGCTGTGTGCCACTCATAGTTTCTTGTGCTTCTAGCTGGTGGTCTCGGCACTGTGTCATGAGAGAATATCTTTTCTCTTGGAACAAGAGACCTGAAAGCATGCTTTGTGTGGAGATATTCCTCGCTCTCATGACTGAGAAGTTGTAGTCAACTGGAGTGAGGGTCACAAAGGGGTGACAGGACAGCTGTGACATGTGACATGCTTGGAAGGGTTGTCTTCTGGGAAGATGGGGCCATTGCAGATGGCATGCATATAGTGACTAGCTACATGGTCGAGATACATGGGCAGTCCTTAGGAACAAGAGGTGGCCAGCCCCACATCATCAGAAAGGGCTGGGTGCTGTGGCTGCTGATCCACTCAGTCTAGGGTCTGCAGGGTGAATATCACTGGCTTGCTTGTTTTCTTGTAGAATGGCCTTGACTTTATAGAAATAAGACAATTTTTTAGTGTTTTTTTAATGCTCATATGCCTTATGGAAAGCAAGCTGAGTGTTGGGCCTCCAAATGGCCCAATGTCTGTCATCTGTCTCTCAATGGAATGGAAATCACTCCATTCTCACTACAGACCACAGCTTATTTCTGAGATTTCCACATTCCCTTAATTCTAGACAGAGGGAGGGTTTTCTACAGGTGTAAGCTTTACAATGAGCATTTCAAACTGGCAGAAAATAACGTCTGCGTGGTGGTGTCTGTGTCCTCGCACTGAAGTGTAGAGGCATGTGTGACTCAGTGCTGAATGTTCCAGAATCACAGGCAGAATCACACGCCTGCCTTTATGTTTGCAGGGATGGCCACGTATGTTACTACTGTTTGTATTCTCTTAGAAAATACACATGCACTGTACGCACATTCTTCCATGTCACTGCTTATCTGTCAATTTGATGGGCTAGAACAGAGTTCTGTTTGGACCTTAGATGGTGGTCTCTTGGAAATTGTCCCCAATCCCTTCTCTGGAGATGGTGGCCTGCACTTGCATCAGTCCTGGCCAGGCAGCTAGGGCTTATCCCAGGGAGACAGACTGGGATCAATGGACTGTCCATTGTTGCTCTCTCTGGCAGAGACAGACAGCTCATAGCTGCTTTACTTCCCACATTTGCTATTCAGTTTTGAAGAAAAAGCTTGGAATAAGTTGTGGCTGATCCCCCAGGCCCCTGCTTCAAGTGGGATTCTCAGGAGAAATGGACCTGAAGAGCTGAGACCTGAGGGGCACAATGGCATTTGCTTGTTTTGTTTTCACAAGGACAGTACTGCCTACAGTGGTCACCTCCCCTGAAGACAGGGAAGGGAGTGGAGCAATAGTAAGGGCTTCCAGCCTGGCAGTCTCATTTCTTTTAGACCTGAGGCACCTGGGCACCCTCTGTTTCTGGATTTGTATAACTGTAAAGTGTGGTCACTGTTGGAACCATTCTAGAGGAGTAAAAGTTTGAGAAAAACTCAGGGCTCAGGGAATTGCATGTTCTGGGTGCTACAGTCCCCAAGAGAGCCTTCTCAATGACTATAGGCGTGTGTGTAGTACAGGATGGGGGACGATGACATCACCGTCCCCTGACTTCGAAGTACATGCAGGGATGGTCTCCTGATATGAAAGTACATGCAGGGATGGGACCTGATACCAAGGTGCACATGGGAAGTCCCCTGACCTTCAAGGTGCACAGAGGGAAGTCCCCTGACCTCCAAGGTGCACAGAGGGAAGTCCCCTGATACCAAGACAGTCCACTGGCTCTGTTGTGCTCATTGGCTCCATATTGGGTAGCCACAGATGGCCACAGTCTTGGACAGAGTGGCCTTAGCATCTTGCACTCTCACTGAAGTCTGCAGGTCCATCAGGGACTACCTGGGAGGTGTGTGAGGCCTCACAGCTGTGGTGAGTGGTTGGGTGGGACTCATGGCCCAGTGATCGAGGCAGGTGTCCACTGACTGTTTGCCATCTGCAGGCAGGTCCTGGCGGTGGCCCGCGGCAGAGAGTGTGTGTTATCGACGAGATTGGGAAAATGGAGCTCTTCAGCCAGCCTTTCACCCAGGCTGTCCGCCAGACACTGTCCATGCCAGGGACCATCGTCCTGGGCACCATTCCAGTCCCCAAGGGGAAGCCACTGGCCCTCGTGGAGGAGATCAGGAACCGGCACGATGTGACAGTGTTAAGTGTGAGTAGACCAGTCCTTGGGGGCAGCCACCACCCGCACATCTCATCCCAGCTCCTACCACCTTCCTCATCCCATCTTCCTCCAGGCACCAACCCCCAACCTCAGAATCACTTGCTAATGGTTCTATGCCAATCCCAGATCCATAGGTCAAAGTGGGATTCAGAGGGAAGTAAGTGTGGTTTCTCAGCCACATGAGCCACGTTTTGGGTATGTGGTGGCCACAAGAGGCTACAGCAGTAGTAGTGTCTTGCTACTTATGGTGAGGTCTGGTACCACCCGGGGGGTGTGTGAGACCTCACACCTGTGGGCCTGGCCATATCTTCTGACCAGGTCTCAGGAAGTTCCCAGGCTCCTGAGAAGCAGGCCTGTGGCCACCTGGGAGAGAGTAAGAATAGTGTCTTTGCTGCAGCAGTGTCTCAGCCAGCTATAAGATGCTCTGCTTATGGCTGGTGCCTGGCCAATGCCCTGCCTCCCTCTTCCTATGGCTTCACCACCTGGCCTGCCGCACCTCAGTGTCTGTGCTCTTGGCTGAGCTCTGCCTAACACCTCACTCCCTGCCCCAGTTGAAAAGCTCATGGGCCCACAAGTGCTGAGGGAACATGCCAGCCAGGCAGGGCCTCTCCTTCCACACAGCATCACTGTGGCCCACTGGCCCTAGTACTGTGTCCACATGGGGCCACCAAAGGACACTGAATGGTAGTAATCATCTGTGAGTGTTAGACCAGCCAGACCTGGAAAGACTTGCACGTTCCTTCCGTCTTTCCTGTATTTAGTCATTCAGCAGGTATGGATTGAGAACTTACTGTGCACTTGGTGTTATTCTCAATCTTGCTTCACTGCAGTGACAGAAATGACCAAGTCCTCCCCTCCTGGAGCCCATGTTACAGTGGAGGAGCTGGACCCCAGACATAGGAGATGCTGACAGAGGCAAAGGAAGCAACCAGGGGCAGTGAGGGAGATGGGGAGGAATGGAGGACTGGGGGTAAGGCTTGTCCAGGGGGAGTTGGGGAGAAAGAAGGGGTGATGGGGAGGTCTGTCCAAGGGGAGATGGGAAGGAGTGTAGAAGGGTGATGGAGGAGCTTGTCCAGGGAGTGGAATTTGAGCATAGACCCGAAAGCTGGGTAAGGTTACATCCTGGTGGCATCCTTGTGGTCTGTGGGCCTCATCTTCACTGTATGCTGCCTTCCTGTCTCCCTCGTGTGGTCTCCACAGTAGAGGTTTGGGTTGTGATAACAGAGGCCATGAATGCTGAGATCATGAGAGGAAAGCTGGTTTTCAGGTCAGAGAGCTTCCATGTTGGAAGCTGGGAAATTGCTAGCCTGGCATTTAGCAAAATAATCAGAGCAAAAAGGACTGGAGGCTTGTCTTCCAGCATGAAGCCCTGAGTTCAAACCTCAGTCCTGCTTTAAAAAGAAAAAAATGAAAAACTTCTGTGCTTCAAAGGATTCCAGTAGACAGTGGGAAAATCGCTCACAAAGGGGAGAAAATACTTGCAAATTATTTACCTGTATGGACCTGTGTCCTAGAATATATATAGAACAGCTCCGTAACAAAGATCATTGAAAGGACAGCTCAAAAAGAAAAAATAAATCCCTAACAAAAAGGCAAAGTATTTGAATAGACATTTGTCCAAATACCCATGAATGGCCAAGAAGCATCATCATCAGTTATCAGGGAACTGTGCTTGAAGCCACAATGAGACCCCACCTCCTGCTTACCAGGGTGGCTATGGTAAAAGGAAGAAATGGAAAGTGGAGAAGTTAGGGCCATCAGATGCAGTGAAGGAGTGTAAATGATGCAGTCACCTGGAAGATGGCTCAGTGTTTTCCAAAGGAGGTGTGTGAGTTATCGCAGCCAGCCATTCCACTCCTAGGGATTTACACAGAAGGATTAAAGAACATGTTCACACAAAAACTGGGATGCATGCTCAGAATAGCATTATTCATAATAGCTCAAAAATGGGGATAACCCAGATATCCACCAACAGATAAATCGATGGATAAAATGTGACATATCCATATAATGAGATAGTATTTGGCCATACAAAGAAATAATGTACTGATTCATCCTAAGCGAATGAATGATACTACCATGCATTATGCTTAGTGAAAGAAGCCAGTCATAGATCGTGTACTGATTCCATTTATAGAAAATTCCAGAAGAGACAAATTTATGGAGACAGGAAATAGAGTTGCCAGAGGCTGGGAGAGGACGGAAGGGGAATGACTACAAATATGAGTCTTCTTTTTGGTGTGACAAAATGCCCTACTATACCCTGTGAATGTACTAAGAATGCTGAGTACTGTCATTAAGAGAATGATTTTTTATGGTATATGAATTGCATCTCATTGAAGCTCTTTTACACATACCCAGAAGTCAGCAGGCAGGAGATCCCATCAAAGAGGCCCTGGCACCCTTCTTCTTGTAGGAAAATGTCAGGGTACCACTTAGATATCAAGGGTGGTCTTTTTCCTTCCTGGTCATCGGCCTTCTTGCCTCATCACAGCACAGTGGAGACTTTCACATGCTGAAACATCCCGTGTGTGCCAGCTCTCACTTTCTCTTACAAAGCCACTAATGCCATTGTGGGGGCCCCACCTCATATCTCATGGAGTCCACTTAATCTCCCAACGGCCTCACCTCCAAACACCATGAATGTATGAATTAGGAGGCTGGGGTTATCTTTCTAATACATGGGATTTGGGGGCCACATTGAAACCACAGCAGCCCTTCCTCCTATCAGGTCTTCCCATGCTGGGCCACTGAAGGCCTCCAGGTACCAGGTGCATGTCCTGCCACCCACCAGGATTCTTGGCTTAGGTCCCTTTTTGTCCAGGCATCTTCTCCATCGATCACCTATCCAGACATCCCCACCTATGGATGCCCTTTCTGGTCTGTCCCCTTCCCTATCTGTCTTCCTTCTGCCTCTGGACTCTTCCTTGTGGATCCTTTGACACCCATGGTTCTGTTGCTATTCATGTCCATCCTTGTCCTGGTCTGTGAGCCCCGTGTTGTCTATGTCTTATCTGCAGACTCCATTCGCAGCCCCTTGCCTCTGGATGTGGGCCGAGGGATGGCTGTGATGTGGGGCCAAAGCAGGAGGCAAAGTGATGGGAGAGGATGGGGCCGTGCCTCACCACCACGGTGTTTACATTCTCTTGTGCGTGTTGGGATGATGCGGTAGTGAGAGAAAGAAAATCCAACAGCAGACTGTCAAGTAAAGCTGGCATAAGCTCATCGCTGCTGCCTGTTTTTGTGACAGTGTTAATTATAGAGAACACACGAGGTCAGGAGAACTGTATTATAGTCTGTACCATGTCACCTTCACTTCTCCAGCCTCAACTGACTGAAGTCAGAGGTCTCATGCAGCACACAGGTCCTCTGTGTTCCTGGAGAGATGAGTGAGTGATCCTGAAGTCATGGGTGGCTGGCTGATATGGCTGCCCTCTGTGTCGCATCTTCTTTACTTGTTTTTGGTTGGGCCATGAGGGCTAGGTCCCATCCACTCTGCCACCTCTATTCTGGGCCTCGTATGCTTGTTCATACATTCCGAGGGCTGGAATCTACCAGTACTCAAAGCCCACTGTCATTGGAGCCCTCACTACAGAAGCTGATGGGACACAGTGATGCCTGTCCTGTTTTGGTGTCCCTGAAGACCTGGGCCACCTCTTTTCCCAAATTTACCATCTCTTTTAGGACATTTCCATCACTGGATTGAAGGCAAGGAGTGGTGTGCTAAAACTATTCTGTCACTTCTTCCCACAGGTCACCAAGGAAAACAGAAACTGCCTTTTGCCTGAGATCATGAAGCACATGCCGAGTGCGGGAGGTGAATCCCACTGAGTGCTGTCTCGCCTCTCTGAGGAGGTGCCTGGCCGCGTGGCCTGCTGCTCGCTCCCTCCTAAAGCTTGCTGCCTGTGTTTAGGCACCTTGTGGGCTTTGCCTGAAGCTGGACAGCTGCTTTCTGTAGGTTGCCCTCATGGCAGGTGGGCTGCATGAGATGAAGGGTCCACCATAGCTTGTTGATGCTTCAGGCTTTCTGTTTATTTCCTTTTATAGCCATGTGTGTGATTGGGGTAAGTTACAAATGAGAGAGTCTTGGGAGCATTTGGTGCGATTTGCCCCCACTGACATTTATGAATGTGTTTGGGGTGGGACAAAGAGCTCACTGCCAGGCGGGGCCTCAGGCTCAGCAGCTTAAAGTGGTAACATGTACTGGATTTTCTAAAACTCTTTCTAAAGACAGGCATTTTAGGTTTGCTCCCCTGTCTGTTTCTTTCTTTCCTTATTGCCTAATAAACATAGAACTGAATCTGAGGTTCAGACTCTCAAGTGTTGTGGGAGGCACATGGCCTTCAGATTGTCCAGGCTGTTTGACCCTCTGCAGGCTGAAGGACAGGGAGAGCGGGGCCTACTGGGCACAGCAGAGCCTGCGTGTGCCAAGTTTACCCGGGGCAGTTTGGAACCTTTCTGTGGCTAGTTTTCCTTCCAAAAATAAAAGGGAAATGATTGTCATCTACCGAGGGTGATATGGCACCCCCAGCTGCCCCACAGTGTCCCAAGTGATGCTGCAGGCAGGCCGGGGTCCCCAGCAGTGCTACAGAAGCAGGAAAAGAGCAACAACTAGAAACCAGAGGCCATGTGGCTGGTGGTCCTGGAGTGGGAAGCAGTTGGGGGTTTCTGGTCATTTTCTGTGAAGATAGAGGAGTTGCCAGGGTGTTCTAGAACTAGCATAAGCCATAAACTCACTGTTGTGAACATGTGTCCCCTCTGTGATGCAGACATTCCCAGAAATGACAGCGAGAGTTACCGGGGGCTGTTACCTAAGCCAGTGGACAGCGAGTGGAGGCACTTGCTCTAAAGCCAGCCCAGGTACACAGCCAGGTTGGAAACTCACCTTGGCTTCTCTTCCAGTGTAGCTATCAGAGCTCGACCTGGACTTGCCATGCCTCGGCAAGGCCACAACAGAAAGGCCTTCAAGACCTTGAACTATCCCTCTCAAAGTGCCACTGCCCAGTGGGAGGAAGTGGGTGTCTCCTGCTGCCCTGGCCCTGGGTGGGCTGTCCTGGGATGCCATGACTGGAGCTCAGGGTGTCTGTCACCTGGTTGTGAGTTCACCACAGGCACCAGGATAGAAGAGGCACTGAGCACAGGCATGGGCTATAGGCTTCCAGGATGGCTGTCACCATGCCTAGATCCCTACCCCAGCCAAAACCTGTGACTACTTCCCAGCCCCACTCAGCCCTAAGGAACCCAGAACAAGGGAGACGGGGGCGGGGGGAGGGGGGTCACTGACGTGCCCAAGGCAAGCCCAGAATCTGACCCACTGCCTGCTGGCTGAAGCAGAACGCCACCATGCTGCCACCACTCTGGGCACTGCTGTGTGTTTACAAGGGCCTCGGGCACCTGCAACGTGAAGGAGTGTGCTGCACGTGTGTCCTTTTGCACTCCGTGTTTCAGCAATACTGTTCACCGCACTTCAATTTTATCTTACATTAGAGAAAGCAAAGCAGAGCACTTGTCTAGCATGTGTGAGGCTCTGGGTCCCATCCCCAGCACAACAAAAATAAATAAAGGAAAAGCGGATGAAATTTATTTCAAAGAAAGCAGAAAAACTCACTGGGCGCTTACCACTCTAGACAGTTGTGCTGACGGAGGGCAGGGGACCACGGCCTGTTGAAGGCTGTCCAGTGAAGCACTGCCAGTGGCGTCATGCTTCTGCGATGGTAGAGACAAGCTCCCAAAGTGAAGTCGGGTCAAGAGCACATGAGCATGGCATGGTGGTGGACTCCTGTAACTCTAGCGGTTGAGAGACTGAGGCAGGAGGCTCTGGAGTTTAAGGCCAGCCTGAGCTGCATGGCACTAGCTGTGCAAACGGGATTTGAACTCAAGTCTAAATGGCTCTGAGGCCCATGCTCCTTCTACTCCTTCCTGTTGGATCCTCATTTAGGTTTTCTGCCTCGGGTGCCCAAGACCCCACAGCTGGCACTTAACTGTAGCAAACTGGGAAGTCCTGCAGTGGTTATTGTACTCCTGTGTCAGACGGTGGTCAGGGAGCAAGAATGATGTTAGGTAAGTGGTGGACACTCGTGAACATCATCAGGACATCTGACAGAGCTGGCACGGATCCTGACTGAAGGAAGAATGCACTTTGAAAAGCATGCAATTGACATGCACCTTGCTCATGGGAAGTTCAGCTGTGGTAACATGGCCAGATGGGAGGGTGCCAGGGTGACTGGGGAATGGCTTTTGTCCTTCCTGCCTGCCTCCCTCACAGCAGGTCATCCAGCCACTTCACCACAATAGTTTTCCCAGTCCTCTTACCTCTCAATACAAGAAAGTTTGTGCAGGGAGGTGAACACAAAAGGCTCTCGGTAAAGATACAAGTTTAGTCACTCATCCCATCCCCGGTCCCCAAGTCACCAAGGTTACCAGGGACTGTGGAATGGCCCTGTCCATTTTTTCTTCCTGTCTGGCTCTGGGTTTGTAGCAGGCTGTGTCTGGGAGGGCCATCTCTGTATGTGACCCTGGCAGACGCTGTAGAACAAGACTTGGGACAGAGCAATACAGAGGTGGAAGCTGAGTAAACACAGTTCGTCACATGTTTTATGGGCAGAGGTGCTGGAGCATTCAGTGATTTTAGAGACCTGCTTGCCAGACATGGAGGCTTCAATGCACTGCAGAATTTAGATTTGGTGCCAAATTAGCTGTGATTTATACAAAACCAAATGCCACACTTTTTATATTATCCTTCGAGAAGAAACGGTTTTGCTTGGTGTCCAAATGCAGGAAAGAACTTTAGCTGTATGCCAGCAGAACTTTTGAGCAACCCTAGCAAAAAGCATCATTCAGGAATGTCTCCCATCACAGGGCTGTGACGCTGCCTGGTAAGAAACGCAGTCAGATGCATGGCTGCCTGCCTGGAGGACCAGAGCAACAAGGTCATGGTTGCACATGTGACTGTGTACCACAGTTAAACGAAAAGCTTGTTGGTGCTGCCAAATGGCCACAAGGGCCCATGGAGTGGAGTGACTCCAGTGCCGCCCTCTTTCCTTAATGGTGTGTGTGTCTGTGTCCACACCTCTTGTGGTGTATACTTAGGATGCCTGGCCTGCATGGTGGATAGGCGGCTTCTTGGAGGAGAACTCATGGGCCTGCCTTGTGGATGAGAGGGAGGTGTGCCGGGTGCGCCTCTGACCACTCTCAGGTGCATGGCCTTTGCCTTATTGAACTCAAGGATACGCCTGACGTGAGGAAACCGTACCACCAGCTCAGGCCCAGCCGTTTGGTCCTGAGGTCTGTGATTTGCCCAAGACGGTTTGGGGAGCTGCCAGCCAAGTTTAGTTTGGACAACATAGAGAATCACAGTGGCTATGTCAATTTCTCGTTGGACAAACAGCTGTGTATAAACCAGAGTTAAAGTCTGTCTCTAGTGATTATGGAGAGATATCTAGCACTCTGTGTCTGATTATAGGGCCCATTAATTGCTGATCCTTAGAAGAAATTACCACCTACTTCCAAGTGGTAAGGGGCTCTGTGCTACAGCAGCCCCTCCCAGCTCCCAACTCCCAAATCCCAGATGCTGTGAAGACATTTGGTGGCTGTTCCTAAATTCTAACTGTTGTCTTTCCAATCAGATGTCCCCCAGGTCAAGGGACTGTTCCACACGTTCCATGTATTTCAGGCCCTCCTCTTCTCCCTGTCCACTTTGCCCAGGGGTGTCTTGAGATGGGAAAAGATGTCATTTGCACAGTAAAGGAGACATGTTTAGGAACAACAGCAGTTTCAGCCAAATTCAAGCAGCAGATAGACACAGCCATAAGTGCAAACATTTTAATTCCAAAGACCATGGTGTGTGCAAATGTGCTCGTGGCACAGGGTGGCTCAGCTTGGAAGACAAGCATGCGTTCCTGGGAAGCACGCGGAGGCTGGGCGCTCTGGAGGGGCATCGCGGACCTCTGTGACTTGCCATGCCCTCTCCATCTCTAAACTTGCTCCTGACGTGCCCTGATTTCTCCCAGAATGCTGAGCAAAGACAGGACTGCATGCACTATTGTGGTTCTGCTAGTGAGGCTGCCACTGCTACCAACAGCTGGGCAACGATGACACGGGAACGAGGTTTTCTTCACACTCGGCCTTAACCTTAATGCATCCGTCCGCTGACGGTGTCACCTCCCACTGCTGCTCATCTCTTTCTCGTGGTGACAGGTTGGCACAAGCTGCCCATCATTTAGCATGCAGACATCCTGCTTTCACCAGGGCCAGAAGGAGTGTGGCTCATGGCTGTGCCTGCTGTAGTTGTGTGAAGTATTACATGGCTTTTGTTTGAAATGTTAAATTCTTGTGCGGTGCTTGGGGAAGGAGGCATGGTGTCCTTTCCCCCCATCGTGTGAGATTGTTTTCAAGAACCTGAGATAAAGTTACTCTGTTTTCTAGGTGAGCTCTCATTTTCCTTACAAGTTGTCACAGAACGGGCTCTGTAGGGTTTGGGGCACAGTGGGGAGCAGGAAGGTGAGCTGCAAGCCTGTTCTCCCCAGACCATGTGCTTCCTACTGCTCGCCCGAGATGCTCTGCTGGGAAGCTGTGTCGTCCAGGCCCATGTCCTCCTGGCTGGCTCTTCTGCACATCACCCCCAGGTTCTCTGCCATGGCCTCGGCCAGACCTCGGTCATGAAGCTGGCCCTGCTCAGCGGAATCTGAGGGGTCACATGGCTCGGAAAAGTGCTTCCAAAGAGATAGGAGAAGCAAGGACTGCTCAGCTACACTCACTGACCAGCTCTTTTTCAAGTCACCTCCCCGTCCCCCGACCCCCTCATGCCGTGGGAACTGGAGCTGGGGTAATACCAAGTGAAATGACAGGCCTGACAGGTGGCCTAGGCTAAGGTTAGAATGTGCCAAAGCCACGCGACTGTGGAGTCTCTGGACATGGGCGTTTCCCAGGAGATCAGGGTGTGCTGGATGTGTGTGCCTGGAACTCCCCAGCAACCCCCCTCTTTCCACCCATACTGAGCTCCGGCAAGTAACACAGGGAGATTCCATCCCGATGGTGACACAGAGGCCACTGGTTCTGGATGCTTGGAGTCCAAGGATTCATCATCCTTGCTGGAGATAGGGAAGGAAAATTTGCCAGAATCCCAGAAATACACCCATGGGGTGTGACTTAAACCAGACTGGGATGGGGAAAGAAGTGGTATTTTGTGCTTTTTTATTGAGGAAATGAGAAAAAAGGGGAAGATGTTTGTGAGTTTAGATAATTAAACTCAAGTAAAACTCTGGCAATAACGTCCTTTCTGTTGGCCTGTATGGCCCAGGGGGCTGCAGGAAGCCATCTCCATCCATCCTCCAGGGAGGACAGGCCCTTGCTGCAGCCCTGGGCTCTCTAGACCAGCCTGTCCCAGCCCGGGCTCCCCAGGAGCCCAGCATGAAGGAGACGGAGGATGGCACAGTGACTGCACTGGACCTGAGGCTGAGCACTGACTTTCCTGTGAACTTGAGAAAGCAAAGAAGGAAACCTCCACATCTGACCCATTTTTGCCGTAACGCCACCCATTTTGTAAGGGATCCCTGTGTTCTCTCTTCACTTGCTCTCTCCCTTAGGAAGCTCTGGTTTCATGTAGTATCACCCAACCTGGAATTCCGGCTCTGAGGTTCGTAAACCACTCATCTTCCAGTATTTAGCTATCTGAAAGTGCTGGGTAGGAATGCATGCTATTTTAACTCTGCATTGATTGCTCCTTCCTGTCCCTCCAGCCAGAAAGATGGGACATGAACAGGAGGCCACCCTGCTTCCTTGGCATGGATGAAGGGAGCATTCTCCCTACAGCAGCATGTCACCAAGAACCCTCGGGAGAAGGTGATGATGGCACTCCACAGTCAGGTGGGCGGGAACCTAAGGCTGTGTGGTACCCCAGTCAGGCAGGACTGACTCCCCACACACAGTAGTACTTACCCGTGTGGCCTGACCTGCAGCCCTGGCTGAGGGGCCCATCACGATGTTGACACTGCTGGAAGACTGGGTGTCGCTGGTGTTGCCCCCCTCTGCAGCCGAGAGTCCAGAAATGACAAGTGCACTGGAAAAGCTCCTCTTGCCGAAGAGGAAACTTAGCGTGGAGCTGGTGGAGGAGCCCAGGCTGGAGCGGATGAGGGCCTCAGCTCGCTCACGGACACTCAGGTGGCCCGTGGTGGTGATGGGTGGTGGCTGAGAATGTAGGGATGCAGCTGAGGTGTGCAAGGATAGCCGGCTGCCTGAGTGTCTCTGGGCCAGCTCGTGCACTGAGGAAGACGTCTGCAGGAAGGCCTGGCGGCTCTCCATGATGGGGCCAGAGGAGCTCAGGGCCGGTGGTCTCTGACTGAGTGCCGAGTGTGCCTGGACAGACTGGCTTCTGCCCTTCATCGTACCTGCAAGGGAGGTGGGGAGAGAGAGAGTCCAGTGGGTCACATCAGCCAGTGTGAGAAGTGCTGTGGTGAACATGAGTCTCACTCCCTTTCAAGGGCCTGAGTAACAGGTTCCAAATACAGATAAGACAGGTCTGTCCTGTGGCACAGTGGGGCGACTACAGTTAACAAGGTATGACACATTTCAAAGTAACTACATAGAAGAGCCCTGAAGGTCCCCAACACAGAAATGACAAATGTTGAACAAGATGGAAATGCTACTTACCCTGATTGCCCATGTGGACCTGAATCAAATTGTACACATGAATATGTATGAATATGAGCCAGTGAAACAAACAAAACATTTGCAGCACATCATTGCATCAGGTGGCCGGGAGCACCTGTGTCCACGTGCTGCTGGAGCCATCATCTCTGCCTGGGCCCAGGAAGCCAGGGCAGCCCACCTGCAAGGCTGGGACAGGGCTGGAGACGACTGTGCAGCCACAGTGCCAGTTGGGGACACTGTGACAATAGAATTCAGAAGGCATTGGTGCCTTGGTTTCCCCTGCTTGTAGGCTAAGAACGCTGGTGGGAGGAAGAACTCAGCCTGTGTTGAGTTGCAGGGTACTCAGGGTTGCCGCTGGCCTCTCTGGGATGAGTGTGTACTCAGCCCTGGCCTGGGGTTATCAGCCTCTCACCCAGGGAGTGGCCATGACCCTGAAGGTCCCTGTTCTTTCAGAGGAAAAATGGGGGTGAGGGGAGAACATGATGATTCAGAGCGAAGAGAGGGGGGAGATTTGTTAGTTTACTCAGAGTCTGGCAAGGGCAGACATCTCTTTGTGATTTACACTGTAAAGCCGACCACTGTCCAAAAATCCTCCACATTTATCCACAAATCAGTGATTTGCACGCTGCATAGACCACCCATACTTGACGGGGCCTTCCCTCAAATTCCGGGAACAAAGGGGCAAACGCCCTCTGTGTACCAAAGGGGAGTGGTCTGTCATCCTTGCCAGATGAGGACCCCTCGTTTCATTGCTTCAGGTGCCCTTTTGGCTCTTTCTTTGTTGCTTTTTAGTTTTGCAAATGAAATAAGAAGACCATGCTAAAATCATGTATGCTACTCAAGATCATTGTTCTTAACCCTGGATTATCAGATTGTGAGTGACTCAACCCAGGATGGAAGGACAATGTAAATTACACTCTGTGCCTCATTAGCCCTGCTCTTTGATCATATCTGGACAGTGGTGGAGCAAGCCATGGAACACAAGATCCTGCCTTTCTCTGCAGCATGGGAGTCGGACAGGGATGGATTTCTAATGACCTATGGTAAGTAGGTCACCAGCCTCACTATGGGACCAGCACTCCTCCAGCTGTGACATAGAAGAGATTGGTGTAGGGAGTGCTGGTTACAGGCAGGAAGTGCTGGAAGTGCCAGCAGTGGCCCTACAGAGTGGTTGTGTGGGGGAGGTGCCCCCTTGTTGGGATCCAGGGAGAAACAAGTCTTCTAAAGCATCTAAGTTCGGGTGGATGAGTTGGGGGGCGAGGTGGGGGAGGGGAGGCTGGGAGCCAGAAGGGATGTGGCAGTCACAGATGGTGAGCCTTGGTCCCTGTGAGTGGACTGAGGCCCTGCTAGGAGGCTCAAATTCCTTCTTCCAAATCACTCACTCGCTGTTGCTTGGCTGATGGTCTCTCTCCTGCCCTTGCCAGAGATAGAAAGTCCCTACATCTGAGAGGCCCCATGCCTGCCTGTCACGTGGTTGTTTGATACAAGGTCCCCTCTGCGGCCATTTTTGGCTGACTTTCTGAAGTAAAGGACCTGTATAGTCCTGATCCCAGCTGTGCCCAGCACATCCCATGGCAGGTACAACACAGAAAGGAGCATCTTCAGAACTTAACCTGGCTCGGAAGCCCTGAGGGGGACCCAGAGTCCCTGACCAGTCTGGTGTGTGCATGGGACTTCCTAACCTTGGAACCATTTGGGAAGAAAAAAATCCCACCATAACCCTAGAGGCTGAGACCCATAGATATGTGCCTGCAGGCGGTGGATTCTAAGAAGGTGATTTTTCCATTGTTCAGGCCAAGTATAGAGATGGGGACCAGGAATCCCCTCCAGATGACTACGTACTAGCCCTGCCTGGCCCGGCAGGCTCCTGGGTTCCTCTCTTGGAGCTGAGTGGTGTCTTAACTCAGATGAGCTGGGCCGTTGATTCAACTGAGAAGATGGGGAGGAGGCCAGAGAAGCCAGGGCTGAAATACAGTCTGGGGATGGATAACCTGGGCTGATGGACCTACCTCTCCCCCACTTTTCGGGCTTGGCCTTGCTAGGACCTCAGGGTTCACCTGCCTTAACTGTACTCAGGTGGCCTTGGTGGAATGTCTTTAGGATGCAAAAATGAGAAACAAACAACTGGTTTGAAGAAACTAGGCTTTCTGGAGGCCTGTGGGCACCAGCCTGGGCTCACAGCAGACAGACTATAGCAGCTGGTGAGGGAGCTCTTGTGTTTTTCTTCTGAGCAGCCAGCATCAGCTCATTTACCTCTCTTTCCTGTCCTTCTTTCTGTCCTTTATCTGTTAACCATCTACCTACCTGTCATTCAATCAATCTATTGCCTATTATCTTCCTATTATCTGTCCGATCTCCTTCCTTATATAGCTGCCCATCCCCCCACATATCAATCAATCAATCAATCATCTATTATCTATCTACTGTCATCTTCATCTTATCTATCATTTATTATCTATCATCTTACCTATTATCTATCTACCTATCTTCTATCATCTTATCTACCTACATCTGTCTATCCATCTGTCATCTGTCTATCATCTAGCTAGCTAGCTATTATCTATCTGTCTGTCTACCTACCTGCCTATCTCCCATCTTGCCCACGTGTATATGATTCACCCCTGCCCCGCTCTGGGCACCCTCAGGAGTCATGGCTGCTCCTTCCAGCTCATCTGTTGCAGAGCTGGTAGGGGAAGCAGGCACAGAAAGCTTATTAAATGCTTCTGGAAGGCGAGGAAGGAAGAACTGAGGGCAAAAGATGAAACTGCTGACAGGCTGCAGAGGGCAAAGGCAAGGAGCAGCAGGGACCAGGTCATCTTCTGCAAGCCCTCAACTCTCCTGCCAGCCCAGCGCCCACCACCACTCAGCCACCAGCAGAGGTTGGAACCTCATCCACCTGGCAGAGCCTGCCTATCTGGGGGCTAGGTGAATGGAATTTTAAGCTTTAGACTCAGCCCCGGCCACGTTCTCTGCTCCCATCTGCTCGTACTCTTCCTGCCTCCTTCCTCATGCTCTGAGTATCAGTGATAAGCAGAGGGGGTGAGAACAGGAGAGGACAGAAGCCTATCTGCAGAAAGAGGAGGACCACATGAGGACATGACTGCACCACAGCCACTTGTAGTACACACATGGTGGAACACCACTAAGAGAACTGGAGGGAATGTAGAGTCTGGAGGGCAGGAGGACTGACAGATGAATGGCTGACTAAGGTGTTGGACAGACGGACAGATAAATGATCAAGCTGGACCTAGCAGATGCAGAGGGTTTTTCTAGAAAGATCCTTATAAGATCTAAGACACTTGGCAGCCTCTGGTGCAGTGCTCATTTTGACTGTGGCAAGGAGCCCTCAGAGGGGAGAACGGCAACCAGGCCCACGATGCTGGATCCGAGGCCCCACTGCACCCACCTGTCCTCTGAGGCCCTCCGTGGGGTGACTCCCAATGCTGGGTGCCCCCTTTCCTGGGCTGTTCCATGCTGCTTTCCCGGCTGTCACCATTTGGGGCGTGGCTGCCACCCACATCCTCAATGTTGCCACCGCTGCGCTGGCTGGCACTGCACTCCTTCCGCATTCTGTGAGAGGGACAGAAGCTTCCAGGGTCCTAGCAGTGCATGTCAGACAGACATGCCACCCAGCGATGTCACAGTCAAGAGCAGTGGTCTCTGAGGCTTAAATCATTCAGACATCCCAGCCGCCTTAGTTTGTGTAAGTACTTTGTGTAACTCTGATGTTCACATAATGACAAAATTGCGCATTCCGAGAACATGTCTCCATTGCTAAGTGACACATGACTGCTTCCTTAGCCCCTCTCCAGGCCTGACTGGGCAGAAGACCATGCTCTCCAGGTAAGTAGCACCCCTTCCCAGGTGCAGATGGGGAGGGGGATTTGTTTCTTAAACCTCAGTGCCTAGTAAATGAGCAGATGCACCAGGGTGGTTAGCATTGGTCTCATTTCCACAAAAACCTGAGCTTCATTCTATACCTGACCAGGAAGTGCTGCCACAGAAGGGCAAAGCTTAGAATCCCTAGCAACTAGAGACTCCCTAGGAAGAAGTCTAAGAGTGTGAGAGGCGGGCGCTGGGGGTCCCCGCCTGGTTCTCTCCAGCAGAAGTGACACAGTCACTCTGAAGGCCCAAGAGCCCAGCCCAGCAGGTGCAGAGAAACAGACTCTTGGCCTGTGACACCTCCTGTGGACACCCA